AGGACCCTAATTCCACCATGAGGATTCTGTCATCAGTGACCGAATTACCTCCCAACTGGTCCCCTCTCCAAACACCATCACAGGGAGAATTAGGGCTTCAACAATTGAGTCCCGGTGGGGACAGAGTTGACTTCACGGCACCAAGTTTCCTCTGGGACCATCCAAACATTGAACAAGCCAAGACACAAATGCCTCCCCGAAATGATGTATGTTCGAGACACTTTTGCGTTAAGACGCACGAAGGAGGAACATGCCCTAATCATCTATGCAGGTAACACTGTCAGGCGGAAGGTCTTGCTGTGAGCCCGGCGGGCTTTACACCGGCAGGTCTGGAAGGAAAAGAAAGCGCCGAAGGACGAGCCAGCCGTTGATGGGAGTTTCCCTCAATGTTTATTCCATGAAAGGCGGGTTTTGTCCTCCGGAGCAGGGTGTTGGAACTCAACTTGGCTAAACAGGTACACTCTTAAGAGGCCGGCTGATGCCGGATGATTCAGCCTGTGGAATCTTAGCCTCCCGCTTGGCCATATTTTCAAAGGAGAAGACATGTAATGGGAGTCAGTTCCTTACATTAAAAATATACTTACAGTTAACAGCACCAAACCACTTAAGTTGGCAGCAGACCAATTATTAATTAGATGAATGGCCTTTTATAAATCCCTCTGTGGCCTCCAGACATCTGATGGGTTTATGGTCCGTGCATTAGGGGACGTGGTTCCTCTGTGGTTATAATTACCCGCAGTTGCTGCCCGTTTGAGGGTCATCACACCAAAAACAGCTGCTCCGTGGACTTGCGGTCCTGTGATGCCACAGGGGGGACGGGGAGAAAGCAGAAATATGAGAGGTTGGTTTGTTCTGCTGCCCTCCCTAGCTGTTTGATCTTGGCAAAGCCCCTGGAAGTTTTTCCTTAGTGTTCTCACCTGGATGTGTGTGTAATGGATCCCTCTTGGTTTTTACCTGTCACGTGACCCGGGCCTGGACCATCAGAACGGCGCCTGTCTCTCGCCCCCTGCCATTGGTTCACATCCAGCCAGAAGCGGAGCGGCTCCGCTCGCTGGCATGGCGTAAACAACTATTGTTCCCACGGAGCAGATCTGGCTGTGTTTTCCTCCGGTGCCCTGCCTTGCTCCTGTCTGTGAAAGCCTGTCAGTTGAAAGTTCTGGAAGTTGGTAAGTTTCTGTAACTCTTTAAAAAATATTTAGAAGCTGGGGGGTGGAGGAGGGGGGGAGAAATGCCTCTGCTTTTATAAGACAAAGTACAGACGATTGAGCTGCCCAGGATTTTGGCTGCGGGGGCTGAGGAACGTGGATTTAATGGGAACCCCCCGTGGGCGTATGTTAGTCAAGTCTAACGAGTGCTATGAAATACACGGCACACGCAGTGCAGACTTCGTCCAGGACCTGTCCTGCTGATTCTCTCCGCCGCCGCATTCAGAGTCCAGGTTTTCTCCACCCGCTGGTTCGGCTGTCCCCTGCACCTGCCCAGTCGCCTTCCCCACTATTTGCATTCTGACAACAAGCAAAGGCAAGACAAAACAGGGCGCATACAGCTCAGGTTTGATGCACCAGGCCGGGCAGTGATGCCCATCAATTCTGCCCACTTCCCATTGGCCAGAACTAGTCACATGGCCACCCTAACTGCAAGGGAGGCTGGGAAACGTAGTCTTCCTGGGTGCCCCAGAGGAAACGCGGGGGGAAAAGGTTAGGTGGACAGCAGCCAGCTAGTCCCTGCCTCGTCCCAGTAACATGATGACACGTTGGCGGTTCAGTTGACCACATGTTTTATTTTTGTGAGTACGGATATCACCGGTGTACTTTTTTTTTTTTTGGACAGGGAGACTGAGAATACAAAAGAAAATAACAACTCAAAGCCAGCCGTTTCTCAGACTTTCGGGCTCCGAGAGTTCTAAAATATTTAGATGCCAGAGACGCCATTGTTCACGCTGAATGTCACATTTGTCCTAAGTGATTTATTTGACGTAGGGGAGCAGAGTTGAAGGATCCCGTGTCGCTCTTGTCAAAACTGGGCGTTACTTTAACTGCCTGTTCCCTTGTGTATTGCTACCGTCTTAAAACCTAGTTTCCCAAAATGCCCAAGTTTCATATAATCTCAGTCGTCTTAAGGCTCCACACCAGTCGGATGGGTGACATTATGTGTGTTCATGAGAAAATCATTTCAAGGGCTACAAATGAGTCCTTTAGTAATACCCAGGAGTCATAATGTCTGTGACATAATGAACCTTCGTAAATTACAACCTACACTAATTAGATCACTTATTGCTACATTCCAGGCCCTGAAACAATTTGCTTAAAGTGATAGTTACCTCTAATGAAAAGATACATAACGGAAAATGTCAGCAACCTTTTAAATCCTCCACGACTTATCACGAGGACTGTCTCGTGCAAAGTGCTCGTGGTGGAGCAAAGTCTTTTGTCACCATTTCCTCCTAAATTAGGTGGGTATTTTATGATCACTTGGAAACAGAGAGAATTCCCTGAGGTAGTGAGAAGATTAGGTAAGGGCTCGCCGTCTCCATCAGCCCTTCTTCTGAGCCCGCCCCACCCCGGCGTTCACGGTGGCAGAAACACTCTCAGAATCTTGCCTAGAAAGAGCTTCGGTTATCAGCTACAGAGAGCGGGCTTTTCTTGGATGCTTGGGATTCTTGACCACCGTCAGGGGCATGAGTCCCCTTCCCCAGTGGGGCATATTTTCATAGCCATCTCTCTGATGAGGTTCATGCCAGTCATGGAGGCTGATGGAAAACGGGGTCTGGAGAGGGCTGGTGGTGTCCATACCAGGTCAGGCTTGCAGCAGGCAACGATCAGGAACATTCAAAGAGGCCTTCAAAAGACCCTACCTGCAAAGATGTGGGCAGGATGCAGAGAAACCCAAGGCTAGTCCCAAAGGGACATGGTGGGGCGGGGCAAGGGGAGCAGTTATCAGAATCCAAACGAGAGACTCATATAGAAAGGGGCCTTCCTGAGCCATCTGCTGAGGCCCACGCCTGTCCCAGGTGCCCCGCAGGGACAGAGCTAGAGAATAAAAGCCCCAATTCATTCTCCTCCTTTCCTCCCTGCCTCCCTCCTTCTATTCCCTTGCCAGGCTCCCTATTGACCTGGGTCTCCTATAAACTGGGGGTTAGAGGGAGAGACGAGCAGGGAGGGCGTGGGAACTCTCTGACCCTGACTGTTTGGATCAGCCTCCTGGGCCGCGGAGCAGGAAGAGGAGAGTGGGAGGCAGCTTTGGGGGAATGAGGCACAGAGATGCCCAGCACAGCCAGGTTCTGCCTGCAGCCCTGATGCTCGGGAATCCGTCTTCCCTGCCTGCCAGGGATACGCGTCCTCCTTTGTCTCCAAGGGCCCTGAGCTGCATAGGTGTGAACTGGCCCACTGGTCCACCTGGCATCTCGGCCTTGGCTTGGCTCCTTCTGGGGGCCGATGGGTGCTTGTCAGAGACATCTAATGACACTTGCAGTGATGCTCCTCTGCCAGAAAACAGCCAGAATGTGAGGCCTCCTCAAGTTTAAAGGCCCACCTTCTAGCCTGAGGGTGTGTCCCCATGAGAATGAAGGAGTCAGAGAAATAGGTGAACAGCCTCACCTATTTAGAAACCCGGGGGGGTGGGGGGTCCCTCTGACACACTCCTCATTCTTGAAAAAAGTCTGGAACTGAAAAGGACTTATTCGTTGCCAGAATCTTCTGGCTTTCAAAGAGCTCATTCCAGGGGGGGTACCTGGCAGACAGTAGGTGCTGCACAGGTCTCAGGGGAGTCTGAGTGGCAGCGCCTAGCAGGGGGTTCTCTGAGTTTTGAGGTCCTGTTAAAACTTCCCTTGATACAACCATCCTTTGGAAAAGAACGGAAGCCATTTTGCAACTAAAAGCCATTTTGGGGGGGGTGCCTGGGTAACTCGGTTGGTTAACAACTGACTTTGGCTCAGGTCATGATTTCATAGTTTGTGAGTTCGAGCCCCACGTCGGCCTCTGTGCTGACAGCTCAGAGCCTGGAGCCTGCTTTGGATTCTGTCTTTCTCTCAGTCTCTCTCTCTCTCTCTGCCCCTTCCCCCGTCTCTCTTTCTATCTCTCAAAACTAAATAAACATTAAAAAATTTAAAGCCACGTATTTGCCTTCAGATTTGATCGTCAATAATAATCCTGATAATAGCAATAGCCCCTTTGAATGCGTCATTAGAACCTATTTGTGTTTCCCCATCTGATCCTCAGAAGAGCCCCATGGATCAGTTAGCAACGAAGAAACAATCTCGAGAGGGAACGGCACTGGCCCGAGCCGGCAACCTCTGGGTGTTGCTGGCGTGGACGGTGCAAGCCCAGCTCTTCCTCACACTGAAGCTGGGGCTCCTTCTCCTCTGGTTTGCGGGTCCTCCTGGGGGAAAGAAAAATCCAAAAGAACTCTTAAGATATCAGTTTTGCCCTCAAGAACCTAAAGAGCTATTTGAAGAGATAGGGAAAACCCTCAAGGAGGAGTAGTAAATGCGCGTGGGATTCAGATGCCAGCACCCATACGTGTGTAAGTGCGTGCGTGCATGTGGGTGTGTGTGCGCATGCGTGTGTTCATGCAGCAGGGTGGGCTGCTCCCACTGCTGGAGCTGCCCGCCCCCCCCCCCCCCCCGTTTTCCTCCCATCTTCTGTGACTCTGGTCAAGACTGAAGGTCCCAAGGAAGATTCTGATTGGGTGGCCAGGGGTCATATGCACAATCACCGGGTAGGGGAGGGCGGGGCATCCCCATAGGCAGTCCCACCAGCACTACACACAGTGCGGAAGAAGTAATGCACCAGGAGAAAAACCAGTTAATGTGTTAGTAAACGAAGATGGAGGGCATTCTGGGAGGTTGAAACATCAACAAGTGCCCACTATGCAAGGCACTGTGACGTTTCTAGATGTCCCCTTCGCCACCATCTACATCCCATGCACAGAGTGAATAGAGCACGTGGCACAGTCTCCATGGGGACGAAGGGAAGCAGACGCCTGGGGAGGGAAGTGATTTCCCCTGGTAATGGAGCATCTAACTCATTCTCGTGCTACCTCCAGCCCCACCCTTGTTGTCCTTCTTGCCTGGCAAGGGAGCGGCTGGCTTGAGCTCAGGACGGGATGGCAGCAGAGGGAACCATGGGTCAGGGCAGGGAGCAGGTTTCTTTTTCTAGTAGCTTCTCACCAAGGAAGGGCAGGCACCAACTCTCACCTGGAGAACGTGGGCCTCCGCCCCGCCATGGTACCTGCTGTGACTCTTTCCTGCTGAAAAAAGAGTCTGGAGCGTGTAGGTGGTTGGGTGGGGGTGCGGTGGGGAGGTGATGGTGGGCTAGGGGGTTCAGATGAGCAGTGCAGTTTGGGAAAGTCTGGTGCCGGAACCCAGGGGGGAAAAAAGTAAAGCTGACCTTCCTCCGTCATGCAAAATGGCCAGCAGCCCTGAAATGTTGGCTTTCTGAAACCTAGGGAGGGAAACTTCCAAGATCCCTGCCTGGTTAAAGCAAAAACAAACAAACAAACCAACCAAAACAAAACAAAACCCCACAGTCGAAACTTCTTAGTCGTTTTCCTAGTTCCCAGAGTGGGTCAGAGGTCAAGAGAGTTCTGTTCCAATTTTCGTTCTGCCTCTTACCAGCTTTAACCTTGTGTGAGTCACAGATCGCCCTGGATCTCATTTGTGCAACCGGAAGATCGCATGAAAACACTAACAGGTAAAGTGATATTAATATTAATGAGAAACAGTATACTAGGTGCTGGTGGCAGATCACGGCCACTTGCCTACCCATTTGAGCTCTTTCTGTGTGGACCTCCCCATAGGAGGCAGCAACCCAGGGTTCCCAATAAAACTTTATTTGCAAAAAAGGTGGTGGGCTGTATTTGGCCCATAGGCCATCGTTAGCCTCTAGTATAGAGAGTATAGGCTGTGTCTCCTAAATTTACCATCTAGCAACATTGACCGAGCACTTATTACGTACCATTCACTAATCTGCATCCGCCATGTGCAGAAGTGCGGCAAGGTTCTGGATTTTCCTCTTTTTTTTTTTTTTTTTACATGTATTTATTTCTGAGAGACAGAGAGAGAGAGATAGAGCGTGAACAGGGGAGGGGCAGAGAGAGAAGAGACACAGAATGGGAAGCAGCCTCTAGGCTCTGAGCTAGCGGTCAGCACAGAGCCCGATGTGAGACTCGAACCCATGAACCGTGAGATCATGACCTGAGCGGAAGTCGGATGCTCAGCTGACTGAGCCACCCAGGAGCCCCTGGATTTTCCTCTTAACTCCTTCCAGCCAACCTCTATTGAACCGCTCTTGGGCACCAGGTTCTAGGGTCCTCTGGCATTAGGCTGTGGGTGACAAGAGGCTCTCCCTGTCCCTACAAAATTACATTCCAGCAGACATGATTGATACAGATGAGCGCAAGCGCTGGGGAAGCATGTAGGAGGGCCTTTAATTCAGACTAAGAGGTAAAGGAGGGCTTCTCAGAGTGGGTGACACCCACACAGAGCAAGGCGACTGCTACTTTCACGGATCTTCCAAGATGCGTTCTCAGCGCCTGGCACATGGGCTCTTTCCCTTCCTGAGACCGGAAGTGGAGCACTCTGAAACCCTAGGAGATGCGACGGGAGATGAAACCCAGTGCCACGGGAAGGAGGGATCCTGAGCCCCCAGATCATCACAGGGAGAAACACCCTCCTCGGATTGTCACCTGAATGAGAAATAAATCTTACTGTGGCATGCTGCTGAAATTGCAGGGGGTGTGGATTGCTACATCTAGCGCTATCCTAACTAATAAAATGCCTTAGGCACACCATCTCCCTGAAGCATTTCGGTAATCCTACGAAATGCCCCAATTTTGCAGGCGAGGAAGCTGAGTCTCAGAGAGGTTAAGGAGCTTGTCCAAGGTCACACAGCTAGTAAATTAAGTAGCCCAAAGTCTACCCCAGAGAAGTCTGTCTCCAATGCCCATGCTTTGGAGCCCTGTCCGTGGCTCTGATTCTGACTGATACACAACCCAGCCCTCCTGTCCAGTCTAGGCAGCTTAGCCCAGAAGAGGCAGGGGACGGTCCTGTCCTGGGATTTATATTAATGAGATGAGACAGGATTTCCCCTGGGCAGGGAATGAAGGCCAGAGGCCAGACAGAAAAGGGCAGCCCTCCTGCCTTGGGGAGAGCCAGGTTTTCTAGGAGCTTGGAGGCGGCTGCCTGCAGACCTGGGCAGAGCTGCGTGATCCAGACCCCAGATCCCTCCTAGACTGTGGGAGAGACAGGGGAGACAGCCTCCAAGCCGGAGGACCCCCAAGATCCTTCCTCGGTTCCTGCCCCCCCTCGAAAATGTTTTCCTTTGCAGGCCAGAGAGGCACTTTTCTCTTTGTAGCCAACATGTCCAGGGCTGACAGGCTAAAACTGCTCGCTTGCTTTTAAGTGTCAGGAGATGTAAATAGTTTTAGTCTTCAGTGATTTCTGATTGAATCTCCTTTTGAAGTAATGATAGCTATAATTTAAAGCAACAGTTACCATATTTTCCTTGCTGGCTGGCCTTCTTTGAAGCACTAAGTATAAATCTGCTTAAAATCTTAAAATAGCTATAGCCCTGTCTCAATATTCTACCAGGAGCCAGGGAGATTCGGCCTCTAATTGCCATCATCTGTAACTAATATCAGCAGCACAGCGGGCTCATGACAAGGTGGCCGGCAGAATTGCTCTGACCTGGACAGGAAGGTAGAGGCAGAGACATGGTCTCCCTTGGGGACCCTTGACTTTGGTTGAAGTTCGGAAGAAACCCGTCCTAAAATTAGGACCAAATGGGCTCTGGGCTGTTGGGAGCTTTTTCAGGACCGTCGTTTTTCCAGGCCCCTCCGGGAGTCTGGGATGGAAATGAGAGGGGCCTCTTTGCAACATAGACCTCAGAATGTTCAAGGGTGGGCGAGGACTTGGTCCTAGCTGACGGACTTCCCAGGGGCAACTTCCATGGTCGGGTTAAGGCATGACACCCTTGTGTTTTCATAAGAAGGGGGACAGCTGTAGAGATTTCCAGGGTGGCCAATCACAGGCGGGAATAATACACAACCACTTCTGCTGCACTTTGGCAAACACATTTAAAATACAGTTCATCTTAAAATTGGCGGCCGCATTTTTGTTGATTCACCAATATGAATTCATTCGACTTACCGCATCCCTACTGTGCGCAGGGCAGTGAACAGAATGGCGACACCAGTGTTCACAGCGTTTACGATACACACAATAGACATCAGGAAGATGTTGACAAGTGCTAGGGAGCCAAATAAAGGAAGGCAAGAAGAGAGTGCTGCCCTTGTACTTTTAAATAGGCTTGTCACCAAGAAGGTGGCATGAAATGGCATTTCCATCTTTGCACGAACTTTTCAGTGGAAAGTATACGAACATGTATCCACGAAGGCATTCTGTCGAATCCTGGTGGGAAATGTTCAGAAAAGTGTGCTTATCTCTCTGAGTGTCAGAACCCTGGGTGTTTTTCACATTTTTTTTTTTTACTACATAGACGTTTTCTGATAACGATGTGTGTGTTTTGGGGAAAAGCGGTAATTGAGTTTGACAGCTCCCCAATAAAGTAAACATAGATTCACCGTAGGACCAGCAATTCCACTCTCGGCTATATGCCCAAAAGAATTGGCAGGAGGTTTTCAAGCAGAAACTTGTGCCCGAAAGCTCATAGCAACGGTATCCACAATAGCTACGAGGGAGAAACAACTCGAATGTCCCCCGAGGGATGGATGGATTAGCAACATGTGGCACATCCATTCAGTGGAATATTATTCGGCCACAAAGAGGAACAAAGTGCTGAAACACGTGACGACAAAGGTGAACCTTAAAAGCAGTATGCTCAGGGAAAGAAGCCAGATGCAAAAAAGCCAAATGTCGTCAGATTCCATTTATATAAAATGTCTGAATTGGCAAATCCATGCAGACTGGAAGTGGATTGGTGGTTACCTACAGCTGGGGGGTAGGGAGAGGGCTTAATGTCTATAGGGTTGTTTTTCAGAGGGGGAGGGGCTGGTGATAAAAATAGTCCAGAACCTAGGTGGTGGTGATGGCTGTATAACACCATGAATATTCTAGAGGCGCTGAAGTGTGCGCTTTAAACTGGGTAGAAATGGTCAAGGTTATGTTATACATATCTTTCTACAATAAAAGAAGAAGCAGTCATTGGCGGGGGGGTTCCTGGATAAACTCAGTGGCTGTGAATGCCCATGAGAGGCCTGACCCGAGAGGTCTTTGTCAGGTGACCCACCAAGGGAGAGAGAGAGAGAGAGAGAGAGAGAGAGATGTCAGGTGCTGGGAGGCTTGGCAGAGCCCCATTAGGAAAAGTTGTTTCTTCTAGTAACTTACCGAGTACCTCTTAGAGGCCAGGCAGGGGGTCCCGGGCAATGGCAGCCTTCTCCAATGGCGCTCCCAGCCAGAAGCCAGTGTGGGGAAGGCTGTGAGATGGGCAGAGGTGAGGGTGGAGGGAGGCTGCTTTTGTGGGGCTGAGCCGTGGATCCGGCTGCTTCTTCTCTGGCCCTGACACGCTTCTCCGGGTTGAGGATACAGATCTCAAAGAGGAGGCCAGACAGATGCTCTGGGAGGCCACACCAAGTGCATGATGGGAGCAGCGAAATAGGCTGGGCGGCTCTGGAGCCCATTAAGGGATTAACGATTTTCCACAGATGATCTGCAGAGAGGGCAGTCTGGACACAAATAATTGAGAAAGAGCCTGTTTTCCTAAAACCTGGGCATTCCAGCCGCCAGTTCCCATGCTTTATAGGACGGCAGAGATGAAGGTGTTCTTAGGTGCAGGGTGAGGGAGGTGAGGGACGATCGGCCGCCATCGGGTGCAGGGGGCAAGCCCTGTCTCCCTGCCTTGACCTCCCTCAGCACCAGAAACTGCCTCCTCTTGTGTGCACCCCTGGGACTCTGCTTGTGCCTCATGACTCACTACAACTTTCTGGGTCATGCTTTTTTTTTTTTTTTTTTTTTTATTTTATTTCTAAGAGAGAGAGAGAGAGAGACAGCGTGAGCAGGGGAGGGTCAGAGAGAGAGGGAGACACAGACTCTGAAATAGGCTCCAGGTTCTGAGCTGGCTGTCAGCACAGAGCCCAATGCAGGGCTCGAACCCACGAACCGCGAGATCCTGACCTAAGTGAAAGTCAGACGCTTAACCGACTAAGCCACCCAGGCGCCCCTCTGGGTCATGCTTTAGAGCCGAGGGCTTTTGTGCTAGAATAAACCAGAGAAAGATGCGAATGGCCAGATGGGCCTTGTCTGCGTCTCTCGCTGTTCCTCTAGGGAGAAAAGGCACAGGGTGAGGCCCACAGATGTGGGCAGCTATCGGCATAGCAGGAAGTCACCTTGCCCCCCACACACCACAAGGCGAGAGGCCCTCCCACCCCGCCCCGGGGGACCCCCTGTGTTGGCATGCTTTTCATCTGGTGCCTCCCCACAGTTCCCTTCTGGGCACTTGACCGTGTCTGGCCAAACGGGACCACACTGTCCGGGAACAGCGTCCCCTCCCTTCCTGCCTGGGCACTACCCCCCCCCACCCCTGCCAAATGCCACCTGCTGCAATCCTAGCCGTTCTCCACGTCTCACCACAAATGCCACCTCCTCCATGAGCTCTTCCTCCCTGAGTGCGCTCGTGCCCTGGTGCTTTTCATAGAGACCCGAGGCAGAGCAGTCCGCCAAAGGTGGGCTTCACTT